TTTTATTTTACATAGTAGAAATTGTAAGGAAGATTTATATTTTCCCATGGTGTAGCAAAATATTTCAGTGAAATAAGAGATTTGCCACAAATAAGATGTTGCTCATTTGTATAACTGAAACAAGCTTTTATATTCCTACAGGAAAGGAGAATGACCTAATGAAGATAGTTTCAGATCTTAAAATCCAGATTTAAACATTTGGTTTCATTGTTAACATTCTACATGGTGTAACTAAATTATTTCTATTAGTAATTAGCATGCATTTACAATATTGTTTTGATCATTTGGAATAAGTAGAAAAAAATTAACAGTTCAAAAATACCAACCATACATTTCTGCCAACTGTACATTCTTTTTATTTGCCAACCACCTGGTATAAGGCTGCTTTCTGGAAAGTGCATCTGTTTTTGTTATTCTTGCTTTTCTTCTGATTCAATTTCACTGGTGCATGCCTCTGTAACTCCAGTCCTGAGTATCTTCATCTCTGTCATCCTCATCCTCCTCGGCACTGTCATCCTCTGCAAAGGGAAGCTCTGGTGGCTGAGGGGAGAAACAGCAACGTGTTGGAATTGCAGCTTAGTGGCTGTGGTGGCAGTGATGGAAAGCACACAGACACCACCAGCACTTCCAGCCCCTGTCCAGGGCACCTGCCATGATAACTTTTTTTTTTTAATTTTAAGGTCAGCCATCCAAGCAGTTGTTATTCACTAATATTCATTTACCTGCTAGAAATAAAAATTAGTTAAGTGGAAATGATTATTATATATGTGTATCTATACATGTCATATTTTTCCTCTCTCTTCCTTTTGAATGTACACAATGTAACAAGAGTGGCAGACCTGAAATTACAATCATCAAACAAATCCAGGATAGATGTCCACTTTCATTCACAAATACAGCACAGTGGACATTTTCTGTGAATTGGAATGCCATCAAAGAAGTGGTGGTGGATGCTCATTTCCTTTATTACTCTCTTTTAAATGTAGCTTTTCTAAAACAACATCTAGTGGCATAATATCTACACAGCCTATAGCACCCAAATCTGCCATCTTCCCCCAATTCATCCTCATCTGAGGACTTGCTCTATTCACACACTAAAGTGGATAGAAGGAGCTCCTGGACGAACAGGTTGTGATCTGCACACATATTTTCCATGGATTGGACTGTCTCAGACATTATAGGATCATTCAACCTTCTTAAAAGAAATTGGGAATTTTGAATCACTTGCTGACTACTTTCTATCCTAGCTGTGTTGGTCGTAGCTATGTATTATGTGATTGTAGTGGTCACACTTCTTGGGTGTAGGATGCTGGGTTGCATTGCTTGCGGTCTCCAGTTGCTGCCTCGCTGTCTGGTCATGCTGCTGTTCTAGTTGCAGCTGCAGCTGCAGTTGGTGTAACTGAGAAACGGAAGGGCCAGAAGAATTAAGCTGTCCTCCTTAAGAGCATCTCACTCCTGAGAGCTGAGACAAAAGCTGAGTGATAGGATCCATGGATTGCCTATTGCTTGGAGAATATGAACTCTCAGAAGAAGAAAATGTCCACCAGTCAAACTGCTAGGAAAGTGCATGTTTGCTCTACGAGAGCGAGGACCAGGGTGAAACATTCTACACACATGTCAAGCATTACTCGATTCATCTAAATCTCTTCTAGGGGACTCTGTGTTCAAATGTAAGATGAGCTGCAGAGTCATCCATGACGTTATTAGGTAATACAGCATATATTGGACAAATCACTTCTATTGATGTTTCTGCATGTTCAGAAGTAACTTGTTCTTGAAGCAATGTCTCTGTATAGCCCTGCTTCCCACAATAGGGACAAGTGAAAACTGGCTGCTCTATAGAGAAGGCTTCCTCATAGTACCAAACAAAATCTACCATCGTTAATACGCACAGCATTGAGTGGTCAGTTGTATGCCTCTTCGTTGTTGCACAAGTTTTATAACATGATGCACAAAGATTGTAATTGTAGCAAATGAAAAACTTGTATCTCCGACCTTGAAAATTTTCTTTTAAACAGGCATCATAGCTGACACCTTTGCAGGGCCTGCCACACCCCATGTCTGCAAGCGCACTGGACCCTTACTGGAAGGAGGGAGCTCTAGGTTGTTGGCCCACCTGTCTGCAGGCAACCAGCTGTCTGGTTTAAGTCCTGAGGGTTGGACTCCCGTAGGTAACAGCCCCAGCACCCACTCTCCCTCCCTCGACCCATGATAGTGCAAACCCTCCAGCTATCTAAAGTTTAAAATACATACTTGGAGATATAATTTATATAGCATACACTTTATTCATTGGAAACAGACAAAATAAAAAATTTAACATTAAAATGTAAATGGTATACTTCCATAGTTTTTAGTATTTTCAAATAGCTATGTATCCATCTCCACAGTTAATTTTAGAACATTTTTCATAATTCCACAAGGAAATTTCATGTTCATTATGAGTCACTTTCACTTTTCTTAATTCTTAGCCTCCACTAGCTCTGGGACATCAGTTTATTTTCCTCTCTGTAAATTTGCCGGTCTGGACATTTCTTATAAATAGTCATATAATATGTAGTATTTTGTGCACTGCCTTTTAATTTAGCATAGCCTTTCAGGGTTCAACTGTATGTGCCCCAGCATAGATCCATACTTCATTTCTTTTTTATGACCAAATATTCCATTGTAACCATATGAGGGGGTACCCCTCAAAACACTGGAATTGTACTGGGCATAGCAGAGTTTTCATAGTATGCATTTTTCCCTGCTAGGTGAGCATTGAAAGCAACTTGCTCTGAGTTTGTGCACCCAGTGGTGTCCCTTGTGAAGTTACTCTCTGGCCACAGTGAATTTTTTCATAAAAGCAGTTTCGCTCGAACCTCATATTTTGTGATGGCTGATTTAAGAGAACAGTGTGTGGCTGTGAAATTTTGTTTCCCGCTTGGGAAAAATGCCGCATAAACTGTTGTGATGTTGAGCACACCTTACAAGGAGAGTGCTATGGGAAAAACTGGAGTATATGTCTGAGTGGTTTTCTCATTCCAAAATGGTGAAATGTCGATTGATTACAAACCTCGTTTTGGGCATCTTTTAACTTCCCTAACGGACACAAATATTGACTTAAAGGTATTTGGAATTCATTCCACTAGGTCAGACTGTTAATCAAGCTTTCTATTTAGAGGTTCTGAAAAGATTGCATAACAATGTGGAACAAAAAGGCCTGGTTTGTGGCAGATGGACTAGTTTTGCCATCACAAAGCTTTTCAGTTTTTCAAAGTGGACCACTTTTCAGTGATCCAAGGTTAAACACTTTGTGCAACCAGGACTCCTTTTAGTGTAAGCATACATGTTCCATATTCTTGGGTGCGAATCTAAGAATAGAATTTCTTTGTAACATTGGACGAAGTTAAATGAGTGTTCCAACTTCTCTACATCCTTGACAATACACCTTAAGGCCTTTTATTATAGCCATCCTAATAGGTGTGAGCTGGAATTTTATTGTGGCTTTGATTTGCATTTCCTTTATTATATTTTTAATCCCTGTTTTTTTACAATTGGATCCCTGAGTGGTACAAACAGTTAAGCACTCAACTACGAGCTTGAAAGTTGGTGTTTCAAACCTAGCTAGAAGTGCTTCACAAGACAGACTTAGCGATCTTGACAACCCTATGGAGCACTTCTAATGTGACACACATGAGGGAGCCATGAGATGAAGTGAACTCAATAGGCCACTAACAACAACAGTTTATAATAACCTTATTTCACTGTACTTCCTAAAACACCTACAGTACTTTATACTTAATAACTCAGAATAAACATTTGAATTTATAACCCTTTTTGAAAACAAAAAGAAGGGTTCTCTCTCTCTCTTTTTTTTTTTTTGGTCTTTTTTGGTTGAAATTGTGCTTTGTGTGTAACACTAGTATAGTACTTTTATTAATTCTCAGACTTGTATCTTTATAGTGTCATAGTCAGTCACATAATGTGTTCTTTTGTTTCATGATCTTTCATTGCTAAGCCATATAACTTGATTAATGTTGATTAAATGGATGTATGGAGTTTTGTTCATGTTTGTTCCGGATTGGTGAGATGCTACCTGGAGACAGGTGGGTGTTCTAGTTCTAATATGTTACTAGTGTAGTGTACTCAAAGATTTTTAAAAAGCCAAAAAACAAAAACACTGGAGGCTTTCTTTTTAACAAATATCTCCAGGAAAGAAATACTAACTACATGAACACTACTTCTAAAGTATAGTACAATGGAGCATAAAAAGGTTCGTGAAAGAATGTACTTAAAAGATAATAGAATTTTTCCACAAATTTTTGAAGTGCTCTTGTTTTATTTGTCTGGTTGTGTGATGTGTAAATAGGTGTCCTTTGTTCTTTGAATTCCCTTTATAGGCAGCCCCAGGTTTTTATATATCCTTTATCTGGTGAATTCTATGAAATATTAGCATGATATATCAAGATTTTATCACAACAGGTAGATATTACTCCTTATAAAGCATGCCAACATTTTTCCCCAAAATGATATTAAAGAATAAAAACTAATGTTATTGCCATTAAGTCGATTCCAATGCATAGAGACCCTAAAGTATGAAGTAGAACTTCTCTGTGGGTTTTGAGCTAAATATGGGAGGAAAAGGGCGCATCTTTCTTTGTCCTGAGTAGTGTCTGTTGGTTTCAAACTACTGACCTTGTGGTAAACAGAACAGCATGGCTTCTACTTCTTAGCTTCTAAAACTATTATTTTCACGAATCTTAGGAAAATTAATTAATAGAGATGTCATACTGACTTTTCTCCCAACATAGTATTTTTACATTTTAAAAGTGTTAGAAAGAATTAAAGTTTAAATTTTGATTTCCACTTTTCACTATAATACATATTTCCAAATATTTATATCAATTTGTGTAAATTTTAACCTCAAAGATGCAAGTTTTATCAATATTTTAAACTCACTGTTTAGTTAGATAAACATTAAATTATTAAAGTATAAGTGTTGGTATCCTCATAATGTATACCTAAATATTTTCCTGCCATTCTTGAATTTCATAATAATGAAGATCAAAATTTTCTTCTGTTCCTTCTTGCTCTTGACTTTCAAAGTTATTTTGTTGATCATCATGTTCATCACTGTCATCCTCCTGATACCTTCGGAAAACTTGGGTCTTCAGATGTATTGTTTGACCATTAGTGTTTCTTTGTTCACCATAATAAATACTGTGCATGTGAGGGAAACAGAATAAAATGTATGAGTTTATTGGCTCTTTTAGCCTATTTTGGTCCACACGAATGTATGTTAAATGGTAGTATTGCAGTGGGTCAACAGTTGGACATATCACTGTAGCATTAATATCTGAAAAATATAAATTAATAGTTAAGTCTTCACTCCATTTAATACCAAACATTTATTAAAATGCTATAAAGTTGATGTAGTGCATTAACAAAGTTTTGTTAAAAACTTTAAGTAGAATTAACTTTAATTATTTTCACATTAATCAAATGATATAACTATAAATGAGTTTTACATTATCAAAATAAATATGGCTTCCTTGACTTTTCTGAGCATCTAAGTAATATCTTATTACTAAAACAATTTTTAAAAGAGATAAAAATTACCTGAAAACTACTACTCAGAATATTGATATTACTTCGTATCAATAGCATGCGCCAGTACCATTTCTCAATGCTCAAGGTGGTAAAATTTAATAGAAAAGACTTAAGCTTTCTAGCACATCTTTCTCTCAGGCCAATTTCTGCCATTTCCTTAGCCAGCTCCCAAACAAAGCTAAACTATTGCCATCAAATTGATTTTGACTCATAGTGACCCCAGAGGACAGAGTAGAACTGATCCTTTGGGCTTTCGACATTATAAATCTTTACTGGAGCAGACAGCTTCATTTTTCTCTTTCAAGGTAGATGGAGGGTTTGAACCACCAACCTTACAGCTCGCAGCCCAATAGGTAATGCACTATCACTAGGCAACATTTTCAGCAATGTGTAAAGCCTAGAATATTAAAGATCTGCTTTTTAAAATGTAAAAATACCACTTTCTTTTGTTAAAAATAATAAAAATTTTACATACTTTCAATTTCATTGTTTTCTATGTATAAGTGTTCCAAATTTCTTGGAATATAGAATAATTGCTTCAGTTCATTGTGTCCAACATTGAGCTCTCTAAGGTTGGAAATATTAAATATATTATATGGAATATCCTGTAGTTTGTTGTGTGACATTCGTACAGCACGAAGTTCTGGAAGTTCCTTGAAGTAATTTTCTGGTATAGAAGAAATTGAGTTGTTTTCTAAAGACAGATACATAAGTGAAGAAGGTAAACTAGAAGGCATTGATTCTAATCTGTTACTACATAGGTTGAGCTGCATCAGTTTTTCCATTTTGCAAAGGATATTTTCTTTGAACATGGAATCATGCAAGTGATTATAACAAAGATCAAGCATGGTCAAGTTTATTAACCCATCCATGGCATTTGTCTGCAGTCTAAAGATCTCATTATGACCAAGAAGGAGTCTTTCCAAAGATTTAGGAAGAGGGAATGGAAATTCTTCTAGATTATTATGTTCTAGATGAAGTTGTAGTAGATTTGAAAACTTAGTAAATACACCATAATCAATCTTCTGAGATTTAATTTTGTTGTGGCTAAGATTAATTTCTTTAAGATGAGTTGCATTAATGAATGAGCTTTCAGTCACAGCTTCAATTTCATTAAACTGAAGGTAGAGCTGCTGAATGTGCATTGGAATACTTGGGATAATCTTGAGTTTGCGATTATCACAGTACATTGATGATAGAAAATTAGGTGGACAAAAGCATTCATTGGCACAGACTAAAGTATTCTGATGAAAAGGAATTCTGTAGTCTACATTTTGATGAAACTGGAATTCTGGTTGATAGGCATCATCTGGCTCTTGAACATAGTCTTCAGCCCACTGATCAGTTTCATATTGGCAATACACCTCGCCTCCAAAAAAGAAAAGGAGGACACATACTTGACTTAAAAATCCCACGGTCTTCTTTTGTCTTACTGCAAATAGAAAGGGAATATATTATGGGGAAAAGTGAGTAAACTTGGAATAGTTTGTAAATAAATTGATAGCTATATAAGATAAATCTGTCACAATACAGGAAGTTGTAAAATAATATCCAAAAAGAATGGGCAGTGTTCAAACCAAAATTAGTATTTAATTATCAATGAGGGGATATTTTTTAAAAGTTACATATTGCATTGAACCACAGTCAAAAATATAAGTAACTCTCAATTTATCGTGCTTAATAAACTAAAGATTTATTGCTATAGCAGGATAGCTCGCTCTCAACTACAAAGCTGTTGCTCTTTCTACTATAAATCATTGGTTATTTCATCCTTTTAAGGGACCCTATGAAAAGAGAGCCCTGGTGGCACAGTGGTTAAGCACTTGTCTTCTAACCGTAAAATTGGACATTCCATGGGAGAAAGATCTTAAAATTACAGCCTTGGAAAATCTAGTTCTACTCTGTCCTGTATGAGTCAGAATTGTCTCAATGGCAATGGGCTTATGAGAAAAGAGACCCTATTATTTTAGTTAAAGATATTAGCTAAAAAAAATTTTTTTGACATTAAAATCTGCTACCATATAGCGTTTATTTCCTGATCCTTCCCTGCCCCCCCCCCACCCCCGTCCTTTTTGGAAGAGCATGAAATACTCCTTTCTATGTGATAACTTCTGATATGTAAAAGCAGTTGTTTTCTCTTAGTGTTTTCTGTCCAAGCCTAAGTCAAAGTTTTCTCATGTGTAAAGGTTTACAGCATCCAAATATTTTGTCTATAGCTTTATCATATTTTACACAAATAGTGCATGCCACACATTTTTGCATGTTGCGCAAATTCTACACATTATTTTCATAAACTTACTATACAATGTTATTTTTGCATGTTGCTGACTTCAATTTTGTCCTGTTCTCAAACCACCCCTGGTCCTCCAACTTTTGTATAATGGATTTAAACAAGGTTAAGTCATCGTTTTGGTGCCTGCTGACATGGAGGTTTAGTTACTAGGGGCAAACTTATATCAACTTACCCTCATGTTTCTTTTCTTTTTTTTAAATAATTTTATTGTGGCTCTTACAGCTATCAAGCATACTTGTACATATGTTGCCATCATCATTTTCAAAATTTTTTCTTTCTACTTGAGGCCTTGATATACCCTCAAGTTTCTAAAGCACCCTCTCTCCTGACAGGATGCCTTCCCTCCCTTTCCTGCTCTGCAAACTGCTTTCTGCAGTGTAGTAAAACATAATTTTCCCAATTTCTTGGATGTGGGCCTGCATAGCAGAACCTGAGTGTGCACTGGCAGTGGTCCCTGCCCACAACAGGACTTTCTGATGCTAAGGCTGTGACAGTTCAGTGTTTAGCACACTGCCCTACACTCTTGTTTCCAGCACGCATATTTGGGTACAGACTGACAATCAGAAACTGCACCACTCTCAGTCCTGGCCATGATTTGCTCTGGATCAAATGCACAATTTCAGTTGTTTATTATCTGATTACCAATGTACCACCAAATTCAACCCATGACCTATTGGCCATGCTTTACATTTTTATTACACTAATATTATCAATAGTAACATTTTTGGACTATTGAATAAGGGTGAATGAATGAAATTGAAATTCACTTTTGGAAATATGAGATAAAAGTGTATAAGAGATATTTTTATATGATTTCAGAATTGCCTCAAGTTACATGTGTGTACATGTTATTTATATAAGCATTCTCCTAGTCACAAAATACAGTAAATTAAAACCAGTAGCCACTGAATTAATTCTGACTCATTGTGGCCTATTTATATTAGAGTAGAATGGTGTTTCAGAGGAATTTCAAATGGTTGCTTTTTCTTTCTTAAAAAAAATTGGGGAGTAGATCACTAAAAATAAATCACTAAATCTATTTCCAATAGATTATTCTATATATTTTTCTTAGTACCTTCTTAGGTTCCTTCTTTCATTACCGTATATACTCGAGTACAAGCTGACCTGAATATGAGTCGAGGCACCTAATTTTACCACAAAAACTGCATTAAAAATGTGCTGAAAAACTCGGTTTATACTCAAGTATATAAGTAATATTTTTTTAAATAGAGTCCTAAATATACAGAGGTTAAAATCACACCATCTTGCCTCAAGGAACTTAAAGTCTAGTTGAGAATCAGAGTGATATACACTACAATTCATTATGACTCAGGCATAGAGATTGTAAAAGAAGGATTATCTAGTTTAAGCAGGGCAGCTTTACATAGGATTACAATTTGAACTTGTAGTAGATAGCAGATTATGCATTGGACGAAAAGCTTTCTTCTTAGTTCAGTAGCTTAAGGTGGTCTAGTTACTTAATATACTTGACATTTCCTCACCAATGAAAAGAAAGTCATAATGACTCACGTGCTATCTCATATAGTTGTTGCTGAGATCATAGGATATGTGTATATAAAAATGTTGAAAATTGGAAAGTGTAAGCCAAATAGAATAAGTATAATAAAGAACTCACTTTTATTCTGACATTCACATCCGGGATTCTAGAATTAAGCCCATATGCATAATTGAATGTGATGAGATAACTCATCATTGGAATAACTAAGAGAATTATTATTTAAACAATTTTTTTTATCTGGCAGGTCTCCATTAAGAGTAACTGCTCTAGATTCTAATACCTCAGTTTCCTCTTTTCTTGTCAGAAGCTAAAAAGTTATAAAATGCATTTGGAATTTGAAGTAGTTATTCAAGTAGTCAAAGACCCATTTATATTCTCTTTCCCTTTGACATTTAGCTCCATTATACTTCATCACCTCAAGTACTCCCATCCTTGACACGCTCATCACCAGAAACTGCAAACGCTGTATACTCTCAGTTTCGAACATCTTACACTCTGACCCATTTATTTTTTTTAAACTTGCTCTAGTTTAATACCTCAACTATAATAATTTCAGGAAATGAAATCAAACAATCAAAAAAGAGTTAGACAAAGTTTCAATCCTACTGTTCCCCACATGTTTGCATTTGAGCCCCTTTGTGCTGCCTGTCTTCCATTAGGTGAATTTACTGTTCTCTTGACCAAGACAGTTATGCCATCTTTTCTTGCTCACTTTAAAGATGATGGTCCTGTGACCCCTACATTGTGGGTTTTGCCTTTTCTCCCGGATCATTCTCAAGAATGCACAAATATATGGTGAATTTTTCTACTATTAAAAAACAAAACAAAAATTCTTTTAATTTGCTAAACTTAAAAGTCAACAACTCTTCTCTTCATTGAAAAACTCATCAAAATGGGCTTGTTTGGTTTTTCTCTTTCATACTCTACAGTTCTTTCCTTTTTGGACCTGCTTCAATTAATCTCTTATCTCTACCACTTTACCTACATTTGACAGGATCACCAGCCATTTGCTAAAGATGATGGCCAATTCATGTTCCAGCTAAGTTTTCTGCTGCATTAGACGTAGTTAATGATGCCTTCCTTTAAATACTTTACTAATTTAGTCTCAAGGACAAAATATTTCCTTCTTTCTCATGGGCATTCTTTCTCCATCTTCTATACTGGCTCCTCTTCACTTCCCTAAATTCTTAGTCTCAGAATAGTCAAGACACATCCTTGGACTCTTTCACATTCTCTTGGTGATCCCACCCAGTCTCATGATATTAATGTGGAAAAGAAAACAGATGAAAATATACGTGACCAGTGTTATTAATTATACATTAATATGAAAATTTCATGTTATTAGAGTTTTAAATCATAATATTTCTCTTAGAGAAAAATCATCCATGCTTTTATCAAGGAAGTTTCTAACTGAATTTATTAATAAAAATAAGGTAGGCTTTAGTTTGTTTTAGAAAGTTTCAAGTATTCAGGAAGCCTTAAAGCATTTCATTATTTTAAGACTTAACTATTTTATTGATAGAGAAACCAGTATATAAGAAATAATGAAATGTTCAATAATTCATAATAATGTATCAATGCATTAATATATAATTCTTATTTTTCCCAAGATAATTTAAATTTTATCTCTGTAAGATCAGAGTACATATATTACATGACTCAAGAAGTTAGACTTTTTGACTAATACAAATATGAAAAGCCTAAATTTATTTTTAGCCATGATGTAGTAATATGAAATTTCATATTATAATTTTAGAAGCTTAATTAATGTAAATCCTTGCAAATCAATCCTTCAATAGACTAGATTGAGTACTTATATATTCCCTTTAAGAAAATTGACAGTAAGTGCAAGCCTGTATCAGGGATCTGTTTAGTTAAAAAACCTAAAGAAAATTTTCAGTGAATCCTGTACAAATGCTCATCTTCTAATAAACCAGAATTACTTGCATTACGTAGACCAGTGGCTCAATCAGCAATGAAAACAATGTTATGGTTAGGGGTCACAAACATGAGGAACTGTGTTAAAAGGTTGCAGCATTAGGAAGGTTGAGAACCACTGACATAGACATAGGATCAAGAAAACATTTTGGGTCTTTTTTTTGTCATTTAAAAATGAGATTGACCCAGATAAAAATTGGTTAGATTGAGAGTGATTCCTATAACCTGATAATTTTCCTTTCAAAGTAAAAAATTGAAACAAAGATTGATTATTTGGTAAATCATAAATAAATTAGAAAATTAAATTTACTTCCTTCCCTGAGCATTTTAGGTAATCAAAAATGTAACGTAACTTTTAACAGACTTTGCTTCCAAATTGTTCTTTTATAGTAGCAACTATCTTTTTAATATTAAAAAATCATCAAACATACTTAAACATTTTTTACAGTAGGAACACTTTTTTAAAATAGAAAAATATTTTACTATCATACCTGTTGAATTTGCTTTAGTTTTCATAGTTTGATGATATGAACTCCTTTAAATGAATCACAAATCCCTAAACACAACTATCTCTCTTTAAAATCCACAGTAACTGTGTGTCTAGAAAGGGTTATCCCTTGAGTTACTCTAGTAATTTAAGCAAGTATAATCAGCTTCAAAAACACTTGTGATGACTTTCAAT